GTACATATACGTCGACATCAGGCAATGCAGTTTTCAGAAAGACGTATAATTACGTTCTCAGCAGCGGAAGAAAAATAACTTGTATGAGTTAATAAAAGAAAAAAAATGACATTAATAAATATGTCATTATTTAATGTTGAAATAAACGCAGAAAGTTATCGAATTTAGAAATTTTCTAGTTGTCCGATCCAAAATGTGACGGACAATGAAAGTAGCCGGACCAAAAGTTTAGAAACGTAGTATTCTCATATATATATATATATATATATATATATATATATATATATATCATTCTGGCCAAGGATACATTACCTGGGTGCGCAAGGAGAAACGAAATCACTGAATTCGTTGTTGGTCTAACAAGACCATGCTAAATATAACCCAGTTATAAGCTTAGCGTAGACTGGCTCAATTTTGGGTACTTTGCGAGAGTCTAACTCTCCACACACTAATAATGGTGGCTAATGATCAGCTCACGCAAGTCGAGTAAATATTAAGCTAGACTCAATCTGACCACAGTTGTGTGGAACGAACTCTTAACATGAGCGAACAGAGTCTGTTACACGACGTTAAAATATTTACGAAGTCGGCACTAAGAGGATACGCATTTTTCTGACAATCATTCCGATGTCAGTTGGCAACCGTCGATCTTGTAATGTAATGATAATGACCTAGATAGCTATAAGGCTGTCATAACTGGGGATGATGGCGGAGACATGCTCCCACTGTCGATAGCCTCTGACAGCTAAGTCCAACCGGAGAAGTGGGGAAAAGCAAAACACTGGCGCCTTATAACCAGCTACTTTGGATAGACAAAGCTCGTTGGTCCGGGAAGGCAGTCCATCGAGGGAAAAAACAAACAGATTTTAAACCTCCTCTGTCTTTCGGCTATATCCAAACACAGAAAAGGCTATGGAAGTAAATCCAGACAACAAAATCCGGACTGGAGCTGTCAATACTAAAAAAAACTCCCGGAAACTCTTACAGTCAAACCTGCCTCAAATATAATTGTATTTCTTTGGCATAGAGTGCGAACTGTCGGTACGGTCGAAGTGGACAAGCACACACTCCGTGGACCAATATCCAAACCTACGTCCTGGGTAGGTCACCCTAGTCACCAAATGACTAAATTCTGGTCCCATCGAGAGCAAAATCTAAAATGACTCAGTGATCTTATTCTTGAACTGCTATCTGGTACGATGTGTTGTTTCGTAATATTATGCACGGTTATGAAGTCTCTCTTTCACACATTTGTATCATGCAAAATTGAAAAAAAAAAAAAAAAAAAAAAAAAAAAAATTTTAAATTTGAAAAAAAAAAAAAAAAAAAAAAAAAAAAAAAATGTATATTTGAGCTGAATTTAAAAATAAAAAAAAATATTGTCACTGTTACAAAATTATTTTATCATTAGGATCGAAAAATGTTAAAATATAAATTTAACAAAGGTTTATCTAGAAGGCCGGGTATCACCTTATTAACGTAATAGAAGACAAAAAGAATTAAAAATGATTAATATATGAATTCTGCCATATTCTTGGAACGACATTAACAAGAAAATTTAACAGCACTTATCGCATTTTCTGCATAACAAAAAGCAAGTCCAAATGTAGAATTAGTCCCATTTAAAACAAAAAACAACTAGTGGTTACCCAGTAAAGACAAATGTCATACCGATAGCTTGCAAGACTAGCTTACTATCATCCTGCCGAATGTCGGTGATAATGATACGCCAAAGGTTTATTTGCTTGGCTATCTGTGAGCTGCCATGAGATTTTGGGAAAAAATAATGCATTAGTTTCTCGTTACATTCTAATACGGTCTTGAATTCAAATGTTACTTCGCTTTGACGGTGTTCCACCTAAGAAGGGAGACCCCTATCTGTCCTCTTATTTAATCCATAGTTGGGGAGAGAAGAAATGGATTCATACGAAGGTGAATCAACAGACTAATCCAGAATGCGAATTTTGCTTGATTCCATTTTCCGTGTCGATAACTTATGTTATTCATTACATAACACACACACACACACATATATATATATATATATATATATATATATATATATATATATATGGGTGAGATTCTTGTTGTCCAAACGAGTGAAATGTGTACATTTGAAAAGAGAAAATGCCGCAAACGTTTTAGATTATTATGTGTTTTTTTTTTTTTTTATCATACATTATTTCGTATATTTTGCTACACGAGCTTCGGGTCTTGTCCCACTCCTCAGGCGAAGAATGGTTAATTCAATTATTTAGACAAATGAATGTTTTGTTCCAATGTTAAACCTTTTAACTATTGTCTTTAGTTTTGTCTTCCTTTTTTTCTCTTTCATTTATATATATATATATATATATATATATATATATAATTAATTTTGAAATATCCCCTCCACATTTACTCGTCTTTTGCCTCCTTCCCTTTGCACCAAGAGTTATCTTTCTGAAGTATATATATATATATATATATAAATGCAGAAATATGAGATCTTATAGGGGAAATTATGCTGTTAATAGGCTGATTTTTTTTTTCTTTAGTTTCCTGTGAGCATTCTGTCTGTGTTTCACTTGCAATGATTTAAAAACATGATTTCTTACATGCTCCAGCTTCTATATTCTGTGTTCCTTCAGGACGTTGTCCTCCCTCCTTTGTAGCTCTTAATAAATTCTATATTTTGCTATCTCTCCTAAAACCTGTCCACCCAAGCTCACTAAGTAGGCCATGAATTGTTTCCGCTGTACTTCTTGCTTTTAATAAACCCTGTACCAAATTTTCCAAGCTGTACACTATTTACATTATTCAGACTATTGTCCTCATCTTTGTCGCCATATTTATTACAACGTTTCGGTCGTTGTACGCTCCGGCCTTCTTCAGGTGGTTAGAATGTCGAAATGAACCCTTTATTTCATCCACTGGGGTAGACTGTTCAAGTTCCACGTGCCATTTTTAATAGATGTCAGTTATCAGTTATCTCCTGTTAATTCCCCTCTACAAGTTCTCCACTGCCTTAACCAGGTATTGAACTCACACTCTTTGGGTCTTGTCACTGGATCTAACTAATGCCTTTATCCACTGTGCCATGTGTCCAAGCTGTATTTTCTTAGTGTCTTGGAAATTTCAATTGTCTCTTCCTGCTGTTAAGTATACGTCTTTATTTTTTTGTTTGTTTATTCTTTTTGCATTTTCTCTAAAACTTCGTTGTTTCTCATGTTCAGATCATGGTATTCTCAGCATCCTTCTGTAGAACCACATTTTTATTGCTTAAAGTCGCTTCTTCATCCTTGGGGAGATATTTTTCTACTTTGCTTCGCTTTTGGAATGAATAACGATCAAGAATGATTGGATAGGGTTATTATGTCTCGTTATGGCCAGCCCGCACTGGAATCGTCATCCTCTTTCGCTATCTCCTTCCCCCGGTTAGCGGGGGCGGAGATGTCTGTGAATAAAGTAGCTGTTCTTCATCAGTCAAGAGATTGTCCACCATTCATTGCCATGAAGAAGGATTGATCTTAAAAGTTCACTACTAGTTTCTAACGATTTTTTTCCAGTTTCTTGATACTTTGCTTAGCTTTTCGAAAGCATCTTTCGCTATGTCAAGACGCCTTCGGATTTTAATGTTGCATTTTCTATTCACTGTTAAAACTCTTCCCAGATGTTTAAGTTATTTTACTTGTTTGATTTTTGCTGTCTCCAATTTTTACTTCCCATGCTGAGCTGTCACTTTTACTAACAACTAATGCCGGAGTAGACTTAATTAAAATAATTTGTAGATGAGTTACTCTTACTTCTTGTCTGAATTTCTGGCATACAAAGTTATCATTATTTACACTATTTTATATTCGTATTATTGTCCTCATCTTTGTTGTTTTTTATCACAGCGTTTCGGCCGTTGTGCCCGCCGACCTTCCTCAGGGAATTCCGAACTGAATCCTTTATTTAATCCACGGGGATAGACGGTTCTCTTTCCATTGCAGGTGTCTAGGGATATCTTCTAGCACTTTTATTTTTTTTATTTAACACTGCTCTGTTATCGCTCGCCAGTTTTCGCCGAGTGCTATCACCCACTGCCCGACCCCAGTAATTGAATTCACACCTATTATATCCCCCAAATTCGCAAACCAACGCTCTTACCCTATAGGCCATTGTCCCGTGCAATCTACCCCCGTAGATTAAATAAAGGGTTTACTTCAGAATTCCCTGTGGGTTATCCAGATCGATATACACCTAATCTTTGTTGTTGTTATCACAACGTTTTCGGCCGTTTTATCTTCATTCTATGCCCATATTCAGAGATATCGCCCAGAAGTAGACGAAATGTCCTTATACATGGGTAGTGAAGCGAGAAAAGTATATCCACGTAGAATTAAATAAAGGGTTCACTTCAGAATTCCCTGTAAGTTACCCAGATCGGTATACATCTGAGGAAGACCGGGGGCCGCAATGGCCGAAACGTTGTCATAATAACAAAGATGAGGACAATAGTCTGAATATAAATAATGTAACAGTTATCTGCATAACCCAGAAAGATATTCTATTTTTAAAATCGTATCAATGCTATAATTTTCTTCTTAATTTAAACAGTGCTTTTATGATATGGCAGAGTCCAAATATTAACCAAAATAAAAAAAAAAAAAAAAAAAAGAGAAAAAAGAAGATTCTAGACAAAATAGAAGATTTTATGGAATTAATAAGCCGATCTTCGTACCTCAAAGAAGTTTTAAATAAATTAAAAAAAAAAAACAAATAAAAAGGAAAAAAGTTAGATCAATCTGTTTGATGCCAAGATTTGATAAGAGAAACTTCGGATTCAATTCAGCCGTGATATACAAAGAGAAAATCGGTTTTAGATTATTTTTTTTTTGTGTCTATTTGTGAAGAACTGACTTATTCAACGTTTCACAGCAGAAATACGTTCTTGTTTAATTCACATACAGAAACGTTTGAAATCGTGAATGATATGATGCATCGAATGCACGAGTAATTATATCCATGCAAATGAGTTAAGAAACGGGAGTAAGAAGAAAAAAGGCGGCAGTACGAGGTTTGAGAGAGAGTGAATCAGAGGGAGAACAAGAAAAGGGGATAGTTAAAATAATAGCAGGAAGGAGAGAGTCGAAAAGAACGGAAGGAGAGAGTCGAAAAGAACGGAAGGAGAGAGTCGAAAAGAACGGAAGGAGAGAGTCGAAAAGAACGGAAGGAGAGAGTCGAAAAGAACGGAAGGAGAGAGTCGAAAAGAACGGAAGGAGAGAGTCGAAAAGAACGGAAGGAGAGAGTCGAAAAGAACGGAAGGAGAAGGAGAGAGTCGAAAAGAACGGAAGGAGAAGGAGAGTGTCGAAAAGAAAGGAAGGAGAAGGACGAAAAAAAACGGAAGGAGAAGGAGAAGGACGAAAAGAAAGGAAGGGGGAGGAGAAGGACGAAAAGAAAGAAAGGGGAGGAGAAGGTCGAAAAGAAAGAAAGGGGAGGAGAAGGTCGAAAAGAAAGAAAGGGGAGGAGAGAGAAGAAAAGAAAGGAAGGGTATAAAAAGAACGTAGAGCCAGAAAAACAAAGAAAAAGCAAAGAGCGAAAAAATTCCACTCATGGCGAAACAGTTCTATTTGAGACCCCATACTACGAAAACTCACCCCGCTGTTTACGAAGTTCTATTTATTCTAAACCCGCTTAACGATCAAAAGATAAAATCTGGAAATATGTACCTGTGTTTGCTCACCATTAATCAGACCAATACAGATACATGTCCTTTTGTCAGACCGACTCTTTAATCCATAAGAAGGACTTCATATTTTTCCCAACTTGCTACGTCCAAACGATCGAATCGTCCTCATTCCTTTCATATTCCATTGGTAAGAAAGGCGTTCAACTCAGAAAGCTTCTTTCCAAGAACAGCTACTTTATGAAACAAATTTCTTCGTAGATGCATCCTCTTAACACTACACTCTTTACCTCTTCAAGTCAAGGATCAATTGTAGTCTAAACACGACATCCTCAATATTCATTTTGTACTTCCTCCTTTTGCATTCATATCATACACAACGTTTAGTAGCTTAGTATTTATCGACCCACCCACGAGGATTGAATATGGCACAAGGCCGGTTTAATGTGGATATCCCCGAGCCCGTAGGCTCGTCCAAAAATATAGCCTTTGAACCCGCCTAGACGGGTTCAGGCCCTGTCTACCTCCCCGAACGAAACCTTGCCCTTCGGCAAAGCTTCGTCCGGGTTCCTCTCTGCTAATGCAGAGAGTTTGACAGACGCCGACTCGGAAGCTCACAAAGGCAGCGTACTACACTTTGATCATAGCCCCCGGGCCGAGCAGCCGAGCACAACGTTTAGTAGCTTCCTACGTCGGGTGGCTCTTGGGTATTGCACTGAGTGAAAATTAGTGGAAAAAAAAAGAAAACTGTTTATAATGTATTTGTTGTTCTATCAATCTATGATGCTTCAAACTTTCGAGAGACCTCTGAGTTGGGATTTTTGGTCGAAGCGTTACAGAATTCTAAACTGGTTCTAAAACCAGGGAAGACGGGGTACTTCACAAGAGAAAAAAAAGTATATTCAATGAAACTATTGACGATACTTGAACTCGTATATGCCCCCACCACGCGAAGCGCGTCTGCTTTACTTCTTGAAGAACGAGATCTAACGACTGCATTCAGGGAAATATGCAGCTAGTTTAGATATTCTACAACCCTTGGTGCATTTTCTTTTAGCTAAAACATGAAAAGTATCCCAATTCCAACTTCCGTAACACATTAAAGTCATAGAGACACCACATATTATTAAACGCTACATTATCTGTCTATATTTCTGAGATGAGGTATTATGTACACTATTTACATTATTCGGACTATTGTCCTCATCTTTGTTGCCATATTTATTACAACGTTTCCGCCTTTCAGTATCTGTCTATATTTCTGAAATGAGGTATTATGTACACTATTTACATCATTCTAGTTCCACGTTCCATGTCTAATGGATGTCGGTTATCTCCTGTTAATTCACCTTTCCAAGTTCTCCACTGCTTTAACCAGGTATTGAACTCTCAACTCTTTGGGTTCTGTCACTGGATCTAACCAACCTATGTATCCTTAAGGGCATCTGTGTATGAATTTCCGGGACTTATAAACATAATGACTTCAGCAACCATTTTTATCAGTGCACATATTGCAATTTTTGCTGTTATCATTGCATTTTTTTTTTTTACCAGAGCTCATATTGCAATTTTCGCTGTTATTATCGCTTTTCTCTGGAACGCCTAATTACTGGTTCCTATATTGTATTCATTTCTATGCTTGGTCGGCTCAGGAGATTTTTGTAGCCCAGCATATGTGCTGCTTCCTTAAGTTTACGAATTTTCCAATGATGTTCTTTGTCTATGATTTCAACACAGAGGGCGGTGATGTCCTTTTTCAAACTTAGACATGGCACGTGGAACTAGAAGTGTCTACCCCAGCGAGCGAAATAAAGGGCTCAGTTCGACATTCCAACCACCTGAAGAAGGCTAGAGCATACAGCGGCCGAAACGTTGTGATAATGTAAATAGTGTAAACGATGTAATGTACTACAATATTAGTAGCAGCTATAGATGCATCAAAGATAAGATAATTCAATGAAGCAAATCTATCTTCAGGTTGGATTTGAATTAAGTTTTCAATTCTCCTAAGCTGGTTAACCAAGGGCTTAAAGACACCAGTTTTACATATTTTTTGTGAGGGTTTATTTACCTTCTTCTAGGCTTGGTTGCCCCTACAAGACTCCAGTCTGTCTTGTTATTTACAAGGTTTTAAAATTAAGGTGGCTTTCTTCTACGAAGCGGGTTACCCGAGAAATGCTAAATAGTTCAAACTATTTTATTATTTACGAAGGATTGCAAAAAAGGCGATAGAATGTTTGAAAAGGAAATGTGTAGAACTAAATGAAAATGCTAAAAAGATAAACCCTTAATTTTGAAGAGAAATCCATTTACGTCATTTTGATAAGCTTCATTATCCTATCTGGTCTGAAAAGACTTTTATAGAATAAGGGGACCTCGTCAACCAACTCTTGTAATTTTGAAGAGGAAGAAATTTACCAATTTCATTATTCTATCAGATCTAAAACGACTTTTATAGAATAAGAGGACCTCGTCAACCAACTCTCGTAATTTTGAAGAGGAAGAAATTTACCAATTTCATTATTCTATCAGATCTAAAACGACTTTTATAGAATAAGGGGACCTCGTCAACCAACTCTCGTAATTTTGAAGAGAAGAAATTTACCAATTTCATTATTCTTTCAGATCTAAAACGACTTTTATAGGATAGGAGATTTTATCAGCTATTGTAATTTTGAAGAATAAGTTTACCAATTTCATTATAAGATTGGAAACCTTACTCTTCAATCACCATTTTCTGCAAGAGCAGCAAGTCGTTTTAATTCTGAATCGAAATAACAGATATAACCAATTAAACTGTGAATATCCATATGCAGTGTAACCCGGATATAAGAGAGATTTTCTCTGGTCCCAAATTAGAGCCTGTGTTAATATATATATATATATATATATATATATATATATAGAAACCCGGATATAAGAGAGATTTTCTCTGGTCCCAAATTAGAGCCTGCGTTAATGTATATAAAATAGACCAAACCCGGATATGAGAGACTTCTTCTCCGGTCCCGACAACTCTCTTATATCCGGGTTACACTGTATAAAGAATCTCGAATGCCAGTTAAGAACCTTCAACGATTTCTTTATACGCAATTTACTCGTCTTCAGTGATTGCAGGCAATGTCTACATCGGTTCTAAAACACCAACAGTGTGATAACGAAAACTCTTCAAAAGTAAACCACATAACATTTTTTGCTATAAGTTAACTTTCACTATAATTAAATTGTACTAGTCTAACTTTTAATGTAGAGTACTTACAATTATTTAAATAAAATAACTATTTACTACATTTTTTTTTAAAATCCGAGACGTTAATTTCATAAAGATTCATTTTTCTGGTTTATCGAGAATAAAATGGTCGGCTTAGTCTATGGCTCCAAGAAGTACCGGACTCCTTCTACCATGCTTTATCTTTACAAATGACCAAAAACGGAATATTGTTACCATATCTGAGCTGGTTCTTTTTCGATTCATTCTACCGTTCTATTCTATTGTTTCAAAAAGTACCTGATTCGTTCTGGTAGTTTCACCTTAAGAGTCATATTAGACTAAAAATGGATTATTACTGTCATATCTGGGCTGGTCTTCAAGTTCAAAACTATTTACGCAGTCGTGTCCGACGAGATTTATTATCCACCTTGCAACCTCTTTGACACAGGTGCAAAATCGAAAGCCTATCGATATAGCTCCCCTGAACACAGAAATCTTAACCTTTTCAAGAGTCAGTCGTTAGAATCTCCATTATTTACCATTTTCTCTTCCATTCATATCATCCACCATTACCATTTTGACTATAACCGTCTATATTGAGTGGCTCCCGAGTCTTGTATTGGATGAAATTTTCTATAAAAACAGATTTTTTAAAGCACCTTAATAGCGTTGAAAGTGTATATTTTGGTTTAGATCACCGGGATTTTAATTTTTTTTTCATTTATCGAAATCTTTGACATCAAACAGTTGTACAAGAATTTATGAACATAGCAAGCAAAACAAATGTTAGTCATAAATAAAACATGACAATCATAGTTAATATAGAAAGTTTCTCAAGGTTGTTTTGATTATTGAATTATTTTTATAAAACACGCATGCGTATTAAACGACAAAATGGCGTTAAAAATATATAAAAGATTTACGAATTTAGCCTCGAGGAACATTCTGTACTTAAATGATTTCAAAGATGAAAAATGCATATATATTTAAAAATAATAATAAAAAAACAAGTTTAATAAATATACATATTTAAAAAAAAAAGGAAAGATTATTGACAGCAGATGAAGAAAGTTATGATTAAATACATTTTTTCGTTGTTTAAACAGAATTTTTGTCTTGTTAATAAGTAGAATTTGATATTTACATTTGGCATAAACACAACCTGACTTGAGCTAAATGAATAAAATTAAATAAAACCTATTAAATTGACTCAGAAGTTGTTAAATTTGTCTAAATATTGATTTGATAATTACTAGTTTTTAATTCGTGTTTCTTGCTTGCTTACACTTAATATCACTTGTAGTAGATATAATACAAAGATACCAACCATTGTCAGGGAACTGAGAATCATCGACCGTTTTTTTTAATCCGGACAAGATTTCTGGCGATTGCCATATTAATTCACCGGGCGAGAAGCTAATGGTGTTTCATTCAACATCTTAATAAAAGTATTTAACAATCGCTGGACGGAAAACACGAGCTTCCAGAAAGTTTATAAGGTAAGTGGAAAATAAGGACACGTATTTAGAATCAGAAACAAAGACTTGTAATTTCGGTGACAAAGAAAAAAAGGAAAGAGATTTTGGGGAGGAATTTAACACAGACAAAATCAAAGGCAAGAAAATCAAAGAGTAACAGCGATTAACCTGCATAACAAACTTGTATAAATGGATGGCAGAACAGAGAGAATAAGGGATAGCAAAATGACACACTAAGAACTATACAGTATAGGAAGTCGTGGAAAG